TGGAGCAAAAATGTCTGGTACGTGTCTGAAGTATTCCTTTACATAAATGGTCATAGAGCTCAAGGAATAAGATTACTGCAGGAGTCTGTGGATTTTCAGTTAATCTGGAAAATGTGTCAGACGGTATTAACGTCTGTGTTGAATTTGTTATTTGGTGAGATTTAATGTAAAGCTTATGTTCACTTGTGTTGCTTAAATTGTAAATTCAATATTTAAGTGTGTTGTTTCAGAGATTGTGTGAACCACTGCTGCAAGAATTCCTTTATAAAATCGTGCACAAAGCTGATCAACCATCTGGCTGTATTTAGGTAAGCATCAGTCAATAACAGAATAAAGATAGTGACTGAGGTCTGGTTTTTGTTCCTCCACAGCTTCCCAATATGACTAAAGACAGAAACACAAATATGGTGGTACTTGAATGAAGCTCTGTGCTGGGTTTACATTGTGTTTACCCTCCATCACCTTTTAATTGACTTACAACATTTACTCTGTGTTGATTTGACCCCAGCAATTTAAACTTAAGCAAAATGAAGAATGAGTCATCACATCCAGGCCTCTCCCACTGTCCCCATACACTCGCCTCCTCTCTACATTCGTCATCTCAAGAATGTCTTTTTTTTTTTTTCTTTTTTTTTTTCCCCCATTGATGGTGCTATGAAGAGATCAAATGCTGATTCTATGTCTTGGACATGGCTGACAGCTAGTGATGGGTCGGCGCATGTGTTGAGCTCCTGGAGTGAAACCCCGTGTCGATGCCCATATCGTCACGTGACCGATACAGCTGCTGTTTGCCGTAACTGAGGCGCTAAACTGCGTTTAAAAGGAAGCACATCTGTCAACGGGATGAATTTCTGTCAAAAGAATCGCTGAACTTTTGAAGCACAGTTCTTCCCCCGCCCCAAGCCATAATGGAGCCTGAAAAAGAGGAAGGTTTCCGCCGTGTGGGAACGTTTTGATCTTACATCTGCAAATAAGGTATTTGTTTTTTTTCCTCGTTTCATCCTGTTTTTCTCAGTCTCCACGTGATCTATCAGAATTCAAATCCATTTCAAAGTGACTCTTGTTTTAAATTGTTATCTTTTTTTTTTTTTTTCCTGTAATTTCTATGTTGCATTTCTTTGACAGAACTGTCCTACATAAATAAAAGCATCTCCTCAATGCTGAGGCTTTGTGGAGTGAGGCCAGAAAATGAGGAGGTCTCAAATGCACCAAAACCCAGCACAGATATTCAGACAACTTCCTCATGGTCGCTTTATTGATCATTTATTCATATTGGTTTTTTCTTAGTTCATTTTTGACCATCAGGCTTCCAGAAAGTATGCCTTGGACCAGGCAGCTCTCAGCTTCATTCTTAAAGACTGCCTGGCCCTCAGCATTGTGGAGAGTGAGGCGTTCAGGGAACCGCTTCAGGTCCTTGAGCCATCATACGTTTTGCCAGCCAGAAAGGTTTATATAGAACAAGTTAGAGAAGTAGTTGATGTGTCTAATTTATTTAATATTAATTTTAAATATATTGATTTGGGCTGCAAGGTGGCACAGTTGGTAGCACTGTTGCCTCACAGCTAGAAGGTCGCCGGTTCACGTCCCGGTGAGGACACCCGGGATCCATGTTCTCCCCGTGCAGCGTGGGTTCTCTCCGGGTTCTCCGGCTTCCTCCCACAGTCCACAAACATGCTGAGGTTAATTGGAGATTGTAAATTGTCCGTAGGTGTGAATGTGAGTGTGCTTGGTTGTCTGTCTCTAAGTGTAGCCCTGTGATAGACTGGTTACCTGTCCAGGTGAACCTGCCTTCACCCTGAGTCAGCTGGGATAGACTCCAGCCCCCCATGACCCTAATGAGGATTGATCGGTGTATAGATGATGGATGGATAGATATATTGATTTGCTTTTGGTTTAATTTGGTTTATTTGCAGACTGTCAAAGGCATGGGGGCCAAAAAATATGAGGAGGAACGAGAACGAGTGAAAAAGGAAGCAGAGCAGCTGTGGCAGTGAGCATAACAGCTGACATGTGGACATCTGTGAACATGGAGGCTTACTCGGCTCTTACTTGTCACTACATTAATGAGAATATGCAGCTGTGTACATCTGTGTTAAGAGTTTCCACAAAGTCACACTGCTGACAATTTGGCCCGAGTCAAAAGGGGCGTGATGGATGACTGGGCCAGAACCAGTAAAGTAACGTGTCTTGTGACTGACGCAGCACCAAATATGATTTAATCTGCAACAAGTCTACAGATTCAGCATTAGGTTTGCATTGCACACACACTAAATTTAATACTAAAAAAATCATGCGATCAAATTCCTGCATTTGTGTCAATCAGACACAAATCCAGGCAAATCGTAGCTTCCTTCAGATCAAGCACCACAGCCAAAGAGAAGCTCGCTGGAGATGGGACGGCCAACCCTGAAGCTCATCAGTGAGGCGCCAACACGCTGGAACAGCACATATCAAAGCTGTCAAGGCTGCATGATGAGAAGGAACCAGTGTGGGTCTCCCTGGCCTTGCTAACAAGCATAGCTCCACTGACAGCTGATGAGTTCACCATCAT